TAAAGAAGCTATTTGAAATGAACAAATCATTGGTTTTGTAGAATTCTACCATACATTCTCCAGCACCGTATCTATCACCAAGGCCATATTTTCCAATAGTTGTTGTTAAGTGCTATTGAGTTGGTTCCAATTCATAGTCACCCTGTATAGCAATCCTGTGTAGGGTTTACAAGGCTTTAAATATTTTGCGGGAGCAGAAAGTCTCACCTTTCTCCCATGACATATATATCATTTGCTTATTTTCCTTAGTCTATCTCATACATAAAACCTTTACTAGTATTCAGAGGTCAAGAATAGCTACATAAGTTCACAATACTAACTGAGAGGGAAGGAGTCTTCACACCAAGGATCAAACCTATCCCCTCTGCACACAGAGTTGATAGGGATGGGAAACTTAGATATCAGCTTCCTAAAATGGGGTGGATGTGGGGGCTATAAAGGCATGAAGTGGAAGTTTACAAGCTTTCACAAGGGAGTTTAGTTTCAGAGTGTGCAGGGGAAGGTAGAATCCTCACTGAATAGTTTTCATCTTGTCTAATCAGGTCTGGTGAAAAGATCCTTATGATTCAATAGTGAGTAATTGTTATCATGACTAATTGTGACAGTCACAACTATAAAGGTACAAGTTTTATAGCATAAAGGTGGGGAGTAGTTAATCTTCCATTACAGGAACAGAGGACCCTAGGACCATCAAAGGAGAAGAGCATGGGCAGAATGTAGGGCCCTATCCAGAGAAGCTTCAACACCAGACATGGAGGCAGAGATGAGGACATGGAGAGATAGAGCAGCTGAGGACTCTAGACTCATGGAAAGAGAAAGGCTGTGTGCTGGCAGCCAGGAGGTAGAATGTGTCCTTGGATTGTTTAAGTGATTATATATTCCTGAGTGTTTTTGTGTACATCAAAAAAAAAACACCGAAAAACAAACCCAGAGGGAATAGAAGCAAATACTACTGAATGATGATGCATGAGGGCATTGTAATCATTGCAAAGAAATAAAATATTACAGGATGAGTGCAAAACCAATGTTCTCCCATGTATACTATCACTCAATTCACAATAAAAGCTTTAAAACAAGCTACACATTTTAAAATACTGCATCATAAAAATGGAGTTTAATCATATTTGATGACATTTATTAATTTAATTATGCATCATTAATTTGAATCAATTAGCTGTAGATTCACCTGAGAGACTTGTTTAGAACAATAAATAATACAGTAATGTTATTCAATTAATATGTATTAAGAAGTTAAGGAACAACTAGCATATGCTCTCACCATGTTGGTACCATCGTGGAATCTTGGGTTGCACATCTGCAAAGAGAAAGCAAACCACCTTGATCGAGCTTTCTTCAGAGGCATGATCTTCAAATGACTACAGCTCAAAAAACAATATTTTGCACTTTATCTTGTACAAAAAACACACATAAAATAGGTACTTTGTGAAGCTTGGTATATATGGGCAGTTGTCATACTTTAAGAGGAAACTGAAAGAGGTCTTTGAAGAAAGATGGAAGGAAGTGAATAATTGCTGAATGCTTATTGTAGGTCAGACACTGTTCTAGGTGTTTTACCTATTTATTATTTTTTATACAAGTAATTCTGTTTGCTTTTAATGTCAGATGATATTTCTTCCAGACTGTACTTGCAAAATACAATATTCCAAAATATTAACAGAATATCTACATCCCCAGTTAACTAATTTAGCATACTGCACTTAGATACATTCTTTTCTATAGCAGTTAGTGGGCAAGAAGGAGGAGAAAAAGGGTTCTATTGGTTACAAGACACTGAGATTCTGTTAAGGGCAATGAAAATAACAACAAATGAGGAAGATAAGGATGATGGATGAACAACACGATATACACAATTAATGTCACTGAACTGTACATGTGAAGACTGTTTAACTGCATACACTGTATTTTCTGCCCAAGTTAGTGAATTTGGTTCATCACGTGTTGTTACTCTTTGTAAATGTTTACTTAATTAAGTGCTACAGAATCTAAGAAAGCAAACACATAGAGATGACCTTCTTAATATTCTTACCTCTTGGAATTTTGCATATCCACTCATGTTTGGAACCACAGGGCAAGGGCAGCAACGTTTTGTTTGCCTTATACACTGCACAATTTCTGGCATCTTCTCCAAAATAAGTATTGTCTAAAAATGAAGAGACAACCTGCAGCACATGAAGTTTATTATTCCTTAATGATGAGTCTCTCATACAAATGTCTCAAAAGTTCAAAATGGCTTTCTTAAAATCATTATAGACTTCTGAGGCAAGCTTCAGAAATGCCTGGCTATGATTCTAGTCAAACATGTTCCACTTTTGGGAAGAATAATCATCCTTAAGCATTTTCCCTTCAAGATGTTTTTTCTTTAAAACAGACATGCTGTTCCTTTCTCTAGAAGGAGCAAGTCAGATGCAAGCATCATTCTGAACTTGTACTGGCTTCTGACAGGCAGGATTAGGTTAGCTTCGGGTCCTGTATAAACTTCTCTGAGGCTCAGGGATGTGTCAGGTGTGTGGGAGACACTTTTCATGTAGATTCTTTTACATAAGCACTAAGCTTTTAAATCTCCAATAACTCAATTCTAAGCCACAGTGAGCGTTAATATGGAAAATATGCAACACTTTCCATTAATGAACATATTAACTTGGAGATTAAGGAAAGATTTAACCTTCTCCACCATTAAGTCACTTAGCAGTGGGTGGACTACATGTAAAATGGGTAAGATTTCGGAAAAAGAGGATATTCCAAACTGTTCATACTCCTTTTTTGGCATGTATACAGTCATACAATTCACGTAATGGAAGGTATATGACCCCAGATTCAGAGAATAGTATGCATTTTAATTCATTTTGTTTAGCATGAAGCTGTGAGGAATCCAGTCTACTGTTCATGGCTTTATCTTATTCATCCTGAACCAATTTGTCTGTTTCTCTCCGCTTACTAATGAGGATGTTCTACTGAAACAAACTGATGTATTCTCAACTTCTATGTGCCGCATTTAATTTTTCAACTGCCATACTGATTGATGTTAACTACTCAGCTGGGTCATGTGATGCCTGCCATTTATGGGGCAGGTTAATTTGCTACACCTCTTCCACATTCTGGGCCTCAGTTTCAACATCAGCAAAATTAGTGAGTGGGCCTGAATGATCTCTGAGATCTCCTGCCACTCTAAGATTCGAGACTCTTTTCAGAGAAGCAGCAATTGGTGGAAAAGCTAATTAAAATAAAAGTTAATTTTGCATGCCTTAATCATTCTTTTCACTCCATGGCAATGTAGGATAAGCACTGGACTGCTAACTGAAAGGTCAGTGCTAACTGCAAGGCAGTTCAAACACACCAGTCTTTCAGCAGGAGTAAGATGAACCTTTCTGCTCCCATAAAGACTTATAGCCTCAGACATACTATATAGGGTCACTGAGTCAGAATTGACTCAATGGCAGTTCTTCATTTTCTTTTTTTTTAATTTTAAATAGGCATATGGTTACTCCAAAAATGTTTTCTTAACCACAAATTTGAACATACATGTACCGGGTCAGAAAATCCTTTTTTCTCTAGTGTTCTGGACTTATTTTAGAGCATGGCTGCTCTTATCGTGCCAACTGGAAGACATTACAACACTGTGGTCTTTGAATCAGACAATCTGGATGCAAATCCTATCTCTCCTATGTATTATTTCAGGCAAGCCACTTAATCATCCTAACAACCCACTGGATTGAGTCCTTGTAAATATTAAAGGTGATATTGTAGGAGAACTCTCAGCTCAGGGCTTGGAACATAATGGCTAAGTAAATGGCAGTTGTCATTAAGTGTTCACTGGTCTCCCCATTTCACAGGTGAGACTTAGTAACTTGCTCTTGCAAGTGCCCTAAGATAGAATCCATTTTAGTATGGAATACTGTTGCAGTTTCCCCCTTATAATCTTGAGAAAAATGTGAGACGTCCTCGTGGTTAGAATCTTGCTCCTATTCATAGAGGTTTATTAGTATGAGAGTGAATGAACACCAAGTCTTTTCTTCTTTCTAGAATAACTAGCTCTGGTTGAGAAAGTGATCCTTTTAGAGTGGGATAAACTGAAGATGGATCTTCGAGACAGTTTCTTTTTCACTGTGATGTGGACAAGGCTCCCCACACTGCACAATCAAGTGCTATTAAAAGGAGGGAGGGTAGGGCAGAGAGAACTGCCTGATGTTATTTTGAAAAAAAAAAAAATTCCTTCTCTGCGTGAGAGTAAACATGGAAGATGGTTTGGGGACCTTTTCAGAGATTCTGATTTGGCTTCAGAATGAGATTTGACAAATGGCCTCTGAACTGTTTGGCTAGCAAAGGCTTCCCAGGACCTTGCTGAAACCTTTACTGGTTTCAAGGTTTGAATGTGTTTTTACTTGGGCCAGAGTCAAGGAAGATATGATTATTATTTCTAGGTTCCTAGTTCATTCACAGAGACTCTGGGCACCTCGAAACAAAGGCCTGGTGATCAACTTCTGAAAATCAGTCACTGAAAACATGGGGTGACCCTGAGTCGGAGCTGGCGCAATGGTAACAGGTGCTGTTTTCATTCATCCACAGTACTCTACTATGCGTGGTTGGTTGACCAAGTGATTCTAGACCCATCTGATTGGAATTCATTTCCATTCTGGCAATACTTACAGGGGTCCTATCAGACCATTCCCAAGAGCCAGCATTCATTGGGTTTCTTTTATTAAATCCAATCCAGAACTGCCTTTCTTCTGTCCTGTGAAGAAAAGAAACAAAAGCTTTACTTTCCCTATTGAATCCACAGCATTCTGTTGAAGATTCAAAAATATTTTATCTATGCATGCAGCTGATTCTACTGGCAGGACAGACCAAGTCAACAAACTTTATTGAACATTTCCCATGTGCAAAACCCTGGTATGAAGTGAACGGATGAGTGATTTGGCCTTGCATGCTGCTTCTCTTGGGTTGCATAGTGTGCTTACTGGTGATATAAAATTTGGAGAAAATCAGTCTATACGGGGAACACGTGTTTCTCATTAGGAATGGCAACCCCTTTGCAATCAGAACAAGAAATATGAGAGCAAGGTGGTAAAAAATTTTGGAACATCACTTCCCTGGAGGACCTTTAAGTGCTTGACTATAGCTTTAATTTCTTGTTATTTTGTCAAAATGTTCATGTCTTCTCTAAAAGCTAATCACCACCCCCACTTAATAAAAGTAAAAAGTTAAAATTAATAATAAAGTAGAATTAGCTCTCATAACATAACTAATTCCTCAGCGAATCCGTCTGAGCCATGGGAGATTAACTTCAGCAGTCAGTGCTGGTAGAGACTTGGCAAGAAGCTCCACAGAGAATCATCCTCCCTCCCATTAGGCAGAGTACAAATATGTCAAACCACAGAGTGCTCGATAAATCAAGCAATAAAGCCTAATTGTACAATGAACCATTTCACTGAGATCATTTTCTGAGAATAATTTTGAAGAATTAAAGATTTAAAAGATTTGGAAATCATGACAGATGCTTTATTTTCTTTAGACCAGAGAAGCAAGCCCATGTCTCAGAGATTTCAGGAGCTCTGGCTGAGTGATAAAACTGAAAGTAAAATACTCCTTACAAAATCAGAGGGGTTACTGGTGACCAGTTGATCATTGTGGAGAGTGCAGTCTCCTTAAGGTTATGCCAGGCACAGTAACATCAATGACATAAACTGGAAACCCATGTCATTCTCCCTACACTGACAGGTTTTTCTGATTTCTTTCCTTACTGACTTTGGTGTTCTGCCTTTTTCTTGCACATATTTGTTCTTAGAAGGTGAAGTGTATTAATTTTCTTTCTAGCAATTTCCTAAAAATAGATCATTTAAAATAAATTCATACACATGTGTATATATTTGTATCTGCATCTAGATGTATACATAATATAATGGAGGGGCTTCAAAAAGTTCATGGAAAAAATCCATTGTCTTTTAATTCCACATAAATATATATACATATATTTATAAATGGAATTATATATATATATTGTTGTTAAGTGCTGTCGAGTCGGTT